AAGTGCTTGGGTATGTAACCATCATCCTATAGACACATGATTTGAATTTGGAGAATAAATAGTAAGATCAAATGGCTAAGCTATGAAAATAAACTTTAGCAGACAATTATGAACAAGTATATTATACATGAGAAGAGAAAAACACCAGAATTTAGGCAGCTAAAGGCTGAAATTATGGAAACTAAAGATGTTCTTTTGGTAATACAGTAATGTGGTACTCACAGTTGCGGCTACAAATATAACAGCATTGGGATTTTTTGGAATTGGAAAGCGTGTGACATCTGTGAGAGACAGTACATTTTGTATGCATTCTCTAACCTCCTTGAGAGTCATTGCAGATTCCTGGGCTGCAAGATCCTCTCTAAGTACCTCCCATGCAGTGCCATACTTTAATATACCCTCACAGTGCCACTACAGCAGAATGTGGCAATAGAAAAGGAAGAGTAGCAACAGGGATTGGGTGTAGTGATCCAACCATTGCAGCATGCACTCCTCCTAAATTCCATAAAGGTGTCAACTTTTTAGTTGAAAACATAACGGATTAAGGGTCTAAATAATCTAGAATCAGATAAAAATTTGACATTTATTTGATCTTAACTCTGAAATTCAGTTTTAAGTGAAAAGCAATGGAGGTCTAGCCCTGACAAGGTACTTGCAAACTTACAGTAGAGTAACAACAAGAGGATCTACTTACCCATGCTTAGTCCACAAACACCCATCTTGCCAAATCCTGCCTCGGAGTGTAACCAATGTGAAAGACTCCGTGCCTCTTCAATAGTTGCTCTCCCTAGTAAAAGCAAGTCACTGACACATAAAAGTTGCTTTAAATAATAAAAGAGAAGCTTGTTTGTAATTTAAGTATAGCAGCTAACCACACAAATCAACTCTAACCTCTCAAGCACCATGGTTGCAATGTTTTCCTTCAATAATGGTCCTCCAAGACGCAATCTCCGTTCAAATGTATGGTCCCCTGTGCCTGCTCACAATTTGCGACCTAAACAGATTAGTTATAAATAATAAATTCAATAAGTTTGACTTACATCTAGAAACTTGAATAAAGATTGACTATTTGGCCAATAAGATTAAATAAATAAAGGATAACTACAAAACTGACATTATAAGAAGAATTCAAAATGCCACACTAAATTCTAGTAAAAAAGGTGAAGAATGCACCTGGCACTTGAGGTCCAGTGACATTAGACACCGGTGCATTCCCCCGGCAGGGTTGGAAACTCGCCTCTCACAAAATATGTTAAAAAAAAAATTAAAAAAAGTGAAGAATAACTTAACCGCAAAAACAGACTATCAACATGTCTTGAAACTCTCATCCCAATAACAGAAGCAGTAAAGTAAGCATAAATGAGAATTTTCTATCATTCAGGCATGCTGAAGCTTACCCTTATAGTCTTATTACAGACAGCATTCTAAAAAATCATGAGAGAGTAACTATATAAATTATCAAGGCATCTAAGCAAACATAACCAAATGACCATGTAGGAAGAGGCAAAACAATGTAAATGCTTAAGATTAACAATGCCAAGATATACCGGGATACCTGCTAGGTGGACCACCTAGGCGATCTTCTGAGGCGGGAAGAATTTTGGGGTGAGGAAAGCAACCCTTGCGTAGTGACTCTCAGGAGGCAATGCATTGAGCAACTGCTCGGGGTCCTGAAAACACCTTCTCTAAAGCAAGCATTTTTTGACTCCCAGACTATTTCCCAAATTGGTTGGACCAAGCTTGGAGGCCAGTTTTGGCCCTCAGCTTCGATCAGGAAACAACTGCTTTATCAGTCTTTCTAGCAACTCAAGCTTTGACCCGACCCTCTGGAGAAAAATGGTGCGCTTATCTTCGTTCTGTGCACAAATGCACCATATACATGATCTAATACATGATGGAGCACCCCCAGATTAACTGTAACCATTTTAGGAAGAACTTCACAACCTTAAAATCTACGAAGACGGTGGAAAAGGTGGAATGTTTTAAACAAAGTTGATGTCTTGCGAGATACCCAGATGGAATATCACCAATACCAACATCAAAGTACTCTAAGCCCCCCCTAAATCTTATGAAGAAACAACAAACCCAATATCAGAAGTTCGAAAATTTCATTACTTTGTAAGGAATGGAAAATGAGTTTGGATCTAATCAACCACTCCTTACCTACAAAATCAGAGAAAAACATAAATACATTTATTGGCATTGAATCAAAGCGCAATCAAAAGGTGAAAGTAATTTAGAAGAAAAAAAAATTGGGATGTGAAGAAATCAATGGAGAATCAGAGGTACAAAAAATGAATTTGGGAGAGACCAAATAAAAGCGGGGGAGGCGATGAGAGGTGAGAACCGAAGTAGATTATAATAGCAAACTAGAAAGTGGCGTGCACGATATCAAAATTTG